AGCTGTTGCCATGGGTAGAGTGCTGTGGCATCACAGCTCACAGCAACCTCAAACTCTTGGGCTTAAGCGATTCTCTTGCCTCAGCCTCCGCCCACCACAACGTCCTGCTATTTTTTGGTTGCAGTTGCCATTGTTGTTTAGCAGGCCCAGGCTGGGTTCAAACCCACCACCTTTGTGTATGTGGCCATCGCCCTGCCGACTGAGCTACAGGCACCCCCGTGTCTTTTCTCTTTATGTGTGGCCCTTACTCTAAGCTCCAAGCGGGCAGAAATAATATGTTTTGTTTACACCCCACATGTAGCACTGTGTCTGGCATATAGTAAGAACTTAATGACTAGGAACTGAATAAATGAATTGGGTTTCAAAAAAGCCTAACTCAAACCCCAGAGTTCCTGACCTCTAGAATTCTGCAAAGCCTTCCTGGCCAACGGTCACTTATCTTCCTTGGGGCACAGCTCCGTGTGGTCCTCCTGCTGGTGGCTACCCAAGGTTAGGGCTTTTCTTCCTCAAGAAAGCCCTATTTGTTTCTTCTGCTTGCTAAATAAGCACCATGTCTGTTTCCTCTTTAATAAAACCACAGGTTTAAATTTCTTGGGCAAAGTTTACATGAGATGTAAACAGGCCTTGGGCGTGGCTAATCTGTCTTTGTTCCCATCCGAAGGGGGAATCTGTGAGGACAAGGGGAATCTAGAGAGATGTGAACTTGGGGACAGGGGAGGTAAGAGGATTGTACTTTATCTGCTTATGAGAATGACAACCAATGTCAAAAAATGTATGAAAAGCGTTTCTTCCTTTCTCTTCCTGAGCAACTCAATCCCAAAGTCATTACATGGGACACAGCAAGGTAGGTAGAGGAGTGTCCCAGAGTGGGCCAGCCAGATCAGGCCCAATAAACAGGTTGCCCTGAGAAAGAACAACTTGTTATTAATTATCCTAAAGATTAAAATTCTTTGTAGTGTGTTCAAAATTTAATTGGTTCATATCCAATAACAATATACAGTAACTTTTATAACAAATAAATTGCCCCCAGAGGAGTCACATTACCTACATCTAGAATTTGATCTGGCATTACTGGGATTTTTTATGGCCAGGGTAAACAAAACTTGGCCAGGCCAGAATCAACTTGGCTGTAGTCTCTGTAATAACAGGGAAGGACACTTCTCCAATTGTTTTTTCACATACGTGGGTCCCTCAAGGAACATCTCATAGAACCCGCAAACCAGATCAGGATTGGGTTACTGATAAATATTTACCCAGCATCTGGGATACCTGGAGCTGGAAGTGGGAGTCAAACAGGTAAGGAGTGAGCAGAAGGACATTCCAGACGGAGGAGCAGCTCAGCTGGTAGCCAGGCTGCCAGGGATAAGGAGCCTGATCATATGAGATTTCTGATTTTATCCTCAATGCAAAAGGGAGCTATTGAAGGATTCTAAGGAAGGCAGTGACATGATCCTGTGTGCAGCCTAAGCCTACCACACTAGTTATTGTGTACACCTGTGGCCCTCAGTCCCTGGGCCATGGACTGGGACTAGTCTGTGGCCTGTTAGGAACCTGACTGCACAGCAGAAGGTAAGCAGTAGCGAGTGAGTGATGGAAGCTTCATATATATTCACAGCTTCTCCCCTTTGCTGCATCACCACCTAAACTCCACCTCTGTCATGTCAGCAATGGCATTAGATTCTCATAGGAGTGGGAACCCCACTATAAACTATGCATGTCAGGGATCCAGATGGCATCCTCCTTATGAGAATCTAATCCCCCCTCTCCATCCCTCATCCATGGAAAAATTGCCTTCCATGAAACCGATCTCTGGTGCCAAAAAGTTTGGGGACCACTGGTGTAGAGAATAAAATGGAGAGGGACAGCCATGAGGCTCTTGTAGCTGTCCAGACAGGAAATGATGGTCCCTTGGAGTAGGTTGATGGCCCTGGGGTTGGTGAGAGAGAGAGAGAGAGACTCAATGTCCATTCTGGAGGCAGAATTGACAAGACTTTTGAAAGAATAAATTCTTGATCTCTGTGCAGTCTGTTCTTTGTCATTGTTCGGGTTAGAGATGGGACATTTGGGAGGGATTATTTAAGGGTTGCAAACACAGCACCCACGCGGGCCTCTGGATGCAGATGGGTCTAACTTTGGGATCCACCTGGAATCTCAGGGGAGGCTACAAACTTGGGCCCTGTTATCTTACCTGTCATTTTTGCCCGAAATGAAGGGTCTTCCCTGAGTTCATTGTGGGGTTTTTTGGTTGTTATTGTGGTTGGTTTTATTTTTTTTTTTTTGAGACAGTCTCACTTTGTCACCCTCAGTAGAATGCCATGGCATCACAGCTCGCAACAACCTCAAACTCTTGGGTTCAAGTGATCCTCTCACCTCAGCCTCCCAAGTAAATGGGACTAGAGGCACCTACCACAATGTCCGGCTCCTTTTAAGAGATGGGGTCTCGCTTTTACTCAGGCTGATCTCTAGCTCCTGAGCTTAGGCGATCACTCACCTAGACCTCCCAAAGTTCTAGGATTACAGGCGTGAGCCACGGTGGCTGGCCTCCTGGGTTCATTATTGCTGAGAAATGCCACAAGAAATAGCCAGACTAAATCCCCTCTTGCCTTTATTTTAGAAATGTTGTCCTGGACATTGCTGGCACCTTACTCAGTAACCTCTCTAAGGAGACCCACAAGAGAAATTTCATATAGTGCTCATTGCTAAGAAAACCTTCAGTTTCCCCAGAGAACTGGTATTCTTTCTCCCATCCAAAAGGAGCAAAACGTCATGAGTGGGGCCTCCTTTTCTGTGGAAGAAGTTCGAAGTCAAATCTGAAGCCTACGTACAACCACAGGGCCTGTCCTTGCTTCACATTACACGTCCCTCTGCTCTCCCCACTTCCCTGCCAGGCTTTACTTCCACCCACATTCTGTGTTTCCTGGTTTATGCTGTGGTTTACTTTTCTTTCTCTTTGATATTTGTGATTGAGTCTGTTCTTGTTGAAAGCCAAGCCAGTGTAGGTGGAGGCGGGGAGATGTCACCACTCCTTGTGTCCAGCCCTGACAGTCCAGACGAGTGACCACAGCATCCCGTTTGTCTCCAGCCACTTTGAGTTACCCTGTGGCCTATTTAGCTGTCCCACCCAGCTATGCCAGAAGCTCCTCACCTCCTCTCCATTGCCGCGATGGTCTCTACCAGGGGCATGTTGCGGGTCTCCATCAGGGAGCAGACAGCCAGCCCAGCCAGGATGGAGGTGGCCCCAAAGCTCACTGGTGGCAGGATGGTGCTGAACTCCCCGAGTGTGGTGACCAGGGGTGCTGCTAGGCCTCCAAGGCGGGCGTTGACCGAGGTGAAACCCATCCCCATCTGCCTGTGGGAGGCATATGGAGGGATCAGCAAGATGGCCTGGACCCACCCCGGAGAGCAGGCAAGGCTGAGCCCAGGGTGTAGGAGGGCAGAGCAAGAAGGACTCAGGGGTCCTACTTTGGCAAGCCAAATAGATGGCATCCTGGAGCTCCCCCCAATATGCCCACCTGATCTCTGTGGGGTACAGCTCTCCTGTGAACAGGTACACGCAGATGAAGGAGCTGGCCAGGCAGCCTTTGCCCAGGGCCGCCTGGGCTGTGCGCAGGGTCTGCATGTCTAGACAGGGGGAAGGAGGCAGAGCCGTGGGTGGGATAGGAGGGTGGGAGGGGAGAGGCAGAGCATAGGGTGTGTGCATGTGACACAGGCCATTCAAAACCCAGAGGAGGAGGGTCAGGATTTTTATCACTTCTCCTTCCCATGTGGGAGCCAGACCCCCAAACTCTTCTCTGACTTCTCTCTCTTTCCCCTCTTCTTAGCATCTGCCAACAAGTCCTGCTGTGGAGGCAGAACAAGCTTTGGAGTCAGGTCTCAGTTCAAATCCCAGTGACCTGGCTCAGCACCTGTGGCTCAAGTGGCTAAGGTGCCAGCCACATACACCCAAGGTGGCGGGTTCGAATCCAGCCTGGGCCCGCCAAACAACAATGATGGCTGCAACCAAAAAAAATAGCCAGGCGTTGTGGCGGGTGCCTGTGGTCCCAGCTACTTGGGAGGCTGAGGCAGGAGACTTGCTTGAGCCCAGGAGTTGGAGGTTGCTGTGAGCTGAGATGCCACAGCACTCTACCCAGGGCGACAGCTTGAGGCTCCTGTCTCAAAAAAAAAAAAAAAAAAAAAATCCCAGTGACCCAGATCACTGGTGCTGACTTTCTCTGGGCCTCCTGGGCCTCATCTATAAAATAAGAAAAATACCACACCTGCTGTGTGGAGTTGTCATAGGCCAACCTGATGTCATGAGTGCAGAGTGCTTAGTGCTCATTAAGTGTTTGCTGTGACCCCCATTATTAATATGCTTGTCCTACTGTGGTATAGAAATAACAAAACCCCAATTTAAATGTCCTGTATTAGGGTGATTGTCCAGGAAATCATGGTACCTCCTCTGTTTAGTGGCAGCTCTGGGTGCACCTTAGAATTATGTAGGGAGATTTTATAACACACCCATACCTGGGCCCTACCCGATATCCATTATGGCAAAGCTTCTTGGGGATGAGCTCAAGTTTGGGTCATTTTTAAAGGTCCCTAGGAGGCTCTATTGTGCAGCCAGAGTTGAGAAGCACCAATTCAGATGAAATACAGTACAGTAACAAAAAATCAGGTCCACGAAACATTTGTCATTACGTGGAAAAGCATGTTTATGTTACAATGCATATGAAAAAAGGGTTTATGTCTATACACACATAGTTATATAATATATAATCCTATTCACATTGTTGTGTATATATGCATATGTAAAATATAATCTCCATTATGTCAAAAACAAATCTATAAATAGGAAAAAATATGGAATAAAATATCAACATACCGACCAAAGCCTGAGGCACGTGGCAAAGCTAAGCTCACAACGGCACACACAGTTTATCACATGCTCTAAGTCACTGGTCAGTTTTGAAAATACTGGAGATTCCCCTTGCATTGGGACAGAGCACCTGAGCACTGGCAGCTTTCTAAGGGCTCCAGGTAAAGGTCATTTCAGCCAGGTTTGCAAATGACTGTTCCAAGGCACCCTCGCTGGGGTTCAAATTCTTCACAACCCATGGACGAGCTGCCACACACAAGCCAGCACTTTGGCTGCCCAGCTGCTCTAATACAGTTGCCTAACCTTCCTGCCAGGACTGTCAATGCCCTGAGGGCAAAGGCTCTAGTCCTTTGTAGATCCTCCACCACTAACTGACACAGGGCACAAAGTGCTTAATAAAATCTATTAACCAACAGTCACTTTCTTTCCAGATCCTGAAAAATACCCCTCAGCCTTGTTCTCTTGTGGCATTTGTTGCCCACCAGACCACAGAAGCTCCCAGTTCTTGTGGGCAGTAGGGCAGTAGCGGATGTCTTACCTTCTGGCACAAACAGGTTGGCGATGACCATGAGCCCGGCCAGGATGAGGAAGGAGGCCACAGTGGCCCGGCGGCCCACGTAAATCATGGTGGTGGTGGCCACCAGCATGGCTGGGATGTCAATGATCCCAAACAGAGCCTGCACCAGGTATATGCTGAACCCAAACTTCTGCAGGTCCATGGCCAGGCCGTAGTAAGCCACGGAGTTAGAGAACCTGGGAGAGGTGACAGAACAGTCCTATGTCACCTCATGGGTCACTGTTCTGGACTCAGTAGAAGACACAAGGTTGGATGACACAAGACTTCTCTTTTCAGAGTTAAATCCCTTGACTTTCCATAACACCTTGAAGGTACTAAGTCATTTTATCCCCAAATATGACTACTTGACATAAAGAATATTTTGAATTAAAGACTATTCACAATCAGAAAGCATTGGAAGGGGCTTTCCTCTATCTGCATAAAACCAGCCTGACCTGATCCAGGGGATCTAAGTGGGCAACTGACTTCCTTTCCACCGGAATGATAGCAGACCTGGTCCAAATCATTTAAAATGTAATACTTATCTCTCATGTTAATTTATAACTCAGTCTGTTTCCCCATCTATTCATCCTCCGTAGTAACCATTTGCTGGACCCATACTCTACATTCTCACCCTTCCTTCAAAAAGGCATCAATAAAGGTATCTAATTATCATTGAAACACTGGGTAATTAACTTTGTGGTTCCCTCCATATGCATGGTGTTTAGAAATAAACCTTTCTCTTATTAATCTGCTGTAATTGTGAGTTGATCTTTCAGAGAACTCTGGGGGGAATGAGTGATCCCTACAACCTTCTCCTGGTCTCCTTAATCTCTTACTTTGGCCTTGGAGCCCAGACTTCCCCCTCCACATCCTTTTCCAAACACCCACTCCCCTGAGTCTAATCTAGACTCAATATGGGCTCTAGAGTGTGTGTAGTTTTTCCTGTCAATACCGCATCAGCGCCAAAATTAAGGCAGTCCTCAAAAAAATAGAAAAAGATGGAAGCATTTCAGAGGACACAGGAGCCAGTGTGCAAGAGCTCCCTGCAGGCACAGCTGGAACCCCATGGAAAATGAAGCAAATAGTATTTACTAACTAAAGGAAATAATGTGATTAAATTATAACCCAGAGTATCAAATACATGAGTCTATAGAAATAAATGGTTTAATAAATAAATCTTGCTTACAGAAGAATCCAGTTAATACATGCAGATGGTCCACCCCTCAGGAGGTTGAACTTAACTCTCCCCTTTGGTATGGATTGGACTCATTTTCAAATAATAGAATGCGGAAAAAGAACATTATTCTTTCTTTAACTCATACTATTCAAATAAGAGAACATTATTGATTTTACAGTGGAAAAACCTGGTAGATAGGCCAGGGTGGTGGCTCACACCTGTAATCCTAGTACTCTGGGAGGCCGAGGCTGGTGGATTGCTTGAGCTCATGAGTTCGAGACAAACCTGAGCTAGAGCAAGACCCTGTCTCTACTAAAAATAGAAAAACTGAGGCAAGAGAATCACTTGGGCAGCACCTGTTGCTCAGTGGGTAGGACACTGGCCCCATATACCCAGGGTGGTGGGTTCAAATCCAAGCCTGGCCAAACTTCAATAAAAAAATAGCGGGCATTGTGGTGGTCACCTGTAGTCCCAGCTACTCAGGAGGCTCAGGCAAGAGAATTGCCTAAACCCAGGAATTGGAGGTTGCTGTGAGTTGTGTGACGCCATGGCACTCTCCTGAGGGTGATAGATTAAGACTCTGTCTCTAAAAAAAAAAAGAAAGAAAGAAAGAAAGAAAAACCTGGTAGACACTACCTAAATCAAGAGATCAAGTTCACCATCACAAGTCATGTTTGTGTCATGTATGCTCTGATAAGATCTAACGAGAAGGGCATATCAATTCCATGGTACTCTTCCCCTAAATCCAGAACCCCAGTCTAGTCATGAGAAAATAATCAGACAAATCCAAATTAAAGAACATTCTACAAAATACCTAACCAATACTCTCCAAAAAACTGTCATGGTCATGAAAAGTAAGGAAAGAATAAGAAACTGTCATATATCAAAGGAGATGAAGGAGACAGAGACTACAGGTAATCTGTTATCCACTGAATGTGAAAATATTCTCACATTCATTAGACATCAGAGAAATGGAAATTAAAATCACAATACATCTATACACTCATTATAATGGCTAAGATGAAAATGACAGACAATACCAAGTGTTTTGGGGGGACATGGAACAACTTGAACTCTCATACACTGCCGATGGGAGTGTAAATTGGTACAACCACTTTGTTTTTTTTTTTTTGTTTGTTTTTTTTTTGAGACAGAGTCTCACTCTGTCGCCCTTGGTAGAGTGCTGTGGCATTACAGCTCACAGCAACCTCCAACTCCTGGGCTCAAGCGAGTCTCCTGCCTCCACCTCCCAAGTAGCTGGGACCACAGGTGCCCGCCACAACGCCCGGCTATTTTTTGGTTGCAGCTGTCATTGTTGTTTGGCGGGTCCGGGCTGGGGATTCGAACCCGCCACCTTAGGTGTACATGGCTGGCGCCTTAGCTGGTTGAGCTATAGGCGCCAAGCCAGTACAACCACTTTGAAAAAATGTTTGCTTCTCTCTATTACAGAGAATTATACCAATACCTTGCTGGGTGCCGTGGCTCATGCCTATAATCCTAGGACTCTGGGAGGCCGAGGCAGGTAGATTGCTTGAGTTCACAAGTTCGAAACCAACCTGAGCCAGAGGGAGAACCCTGTCTCTAAAAACAGCTGGGCATTATGGCGGGTGCCTGTAGTTCCAGCTACGTGGGAGGATGAAGCAAGAGAGTCAATTGAGCCCAAGAGTTTGAGGTTGTTGTGAGCTATGAGTCCATGGCACTCTATCAAGGGCGACAAAGTTAAAAAAAACAAAAACAAAAAACCCCCTCAATACCTTAGATCCAGCAATTCCAATTCGAGGTATATGAAGTCTGTCCAGAAAGTATCCAGACATGTGATATGAAAAATGGAGACATTTACTGAAGACCATGAAAGATAGAAGAAACATTGTACACAGGACAATGATGCCTCATTCCCATTCAATGTAGGCACGTTGGCACCTCACACAGTTCTCCCAGTGTCTCTTCTACTGCTCAAAACACTGCAAAATCCTGTGTTGGAATTGCCATCAGCTGCCTTGTATTTTCCTGAATCTCATCAACAATCTGAAATCTCTTCCTTTTCAAAGATAATTTTAGTTTTGGGAAAAGCAGAAGTCACAGGTCACCAAATCTGGGCTTTAGGGAGTCTAAATCATCTGGGTGATTTGATGTTTCACAAAAAATCTCTGCAGGAGATGTGATGCCTTGGGCAACTCCCAATCACCACTTGCCCATAGCTGTGGCCATTTCTTTGTCACACTGCATCTCTCAACTGAGGTGAAATATTGAGGCAGCCCTCCTTATAAACTGTTTTGCCTGGAGGAGCATACTCATGATGGACAACCCCTTCCCAATCAAAAAACACAGTTAACATGGTCTTAATCTTGTGAGACATTGCTGCTCCTTCTTCGGGTGTGGAAAACCAGAGCACTTCCATTGGGATGACCGGGCCTTCGTTTGGGAAACATACCTATAGCTGCATGATTCATCCTCGATTATGATCTTCCTCTTTTTTTTTTTTTTAAGACAGAGTCTCATTTTGTCCCCCTGGGTAGAGTACGGTGGCATCATAGCTCACGGCAACCTCAAACTCCTTGGGCTCAAGCAATCCTCTTTTTTTTTTTTTTTTCTTTTGAGACAGAGCCTCAAACTATTGCCCTGGGTAGAGTGCTGTGGCATCACAGCTCACAGAAACCTCCAGGATCAACCTTAATCCTGGGCTTAAGCGATTCTCTTGCCTCAGCCTCCCAAGTAGCTGGAACTACAGGCACCTGCCAGAACACCCGGCTATTTTTTGGTTATAGTTGTCATTGCTGTTTGGCAGGCCCGGGCTGGATTCAAACCCACTAGCTTCAGTGTATGTGGCTGGCGCCCTAGCTTCTGAGCTACAGTCACTGAGCCTCAAGCAATCTTCTTGCCTTAACCTCCTGAGCAGCTGGACTATAGGTGCTCACCACAATGCCGGCTATTATTTTTAGACTCTCACTGTTGCTCAGACTGGGGATGATGATCTTGAGGAAATCCGGTTCATAAGTAGCCGTTAGAAGCGAGTCATTAGCAAACGCAGCCTAATGTTCCTTCTGCTCTGTAGCAGAAGGCAGGAATGCATTTTGAGAAGATACATTTCACACCAAGATCCATATCAAAGTCTCAGACACTGTAGTTTTGGATCCTCCATCAGTTTCTACTTCTCACACGTCAGTCTAATCTTTGCCAGTTGCAGCCCATACACGTTCCGCATGCTCAGGTGTTCTGCTTGTGGCAGGCCTTCCAGAATGTGGGCCACTTTGAACAGATTGTCAATGGTCTTTTGTTTGTTTGTTTGTTTTGTTTTTGAGACAGAGTCTCACTCTGTTGCCCTTGGTAGAGTGTTGTGGCATCACAGCTCACAGCAACCTCCAGCTCTTGGGCTTAGGCAATTCTCTTGCCTCAGCCTCGTGAGTAGCTGGGACTACAGGCTCCTGCCACAACGCCTGGGTATTTTTTGTTGCAGTTTGGCTTGGGACCAGGTTTGAACATGCCACCCTTGGTATTATGGGGCCAGCACGTTACTCACGGAGCTACAGGTGCCTCCCCGATTGCCAACCGTCTTTGAAGTTTTCGTATCACACTTTTATTTGAGCTGCACTCATAGCATCATCCCTGAAAGCCTCTGAGTAGTCTGACTAGCATCCGTGGAGGAAACTATTTTGCTTAATGCAAAATTTGATGCACTTTTATCATTCAGTCATTTTGAATGCAACGGCCCATTCACTCATCAAATATTTATTCTTTCTTTTTTTTTTTGAGACAGTCTCACTTTGTCACCCTCAGTAGAGTGCTGTGGCATCATAGCTCTCAGCAACTTCAAACTCTGGGGCTCAAGAGATCATCTTTGCCTCATCCTCTTGAGTAGCTAGGAATACAGGCACCGGCCATGAAGCCCAGCTAATTTTTCTATTTTTAGTAGAGAGCAGGCTGGTTTCCAAATCCTGAGCTCAAGCAATGCACCAGCCTTGGCCTCCCAGAGTTCTGGGATTACAGGCATGAGCTGCCACGCCCTGCCCTCATCAAATACAAAGCTACTACATGCCAGGAACAGGGTTCATGTAATACTGTAAAGCTATTTACACAAATGATTAAGTTATAAAAACCAAGTAGCAGAATAGGTAGAAGATCAGTATTAACCCATGCTTGGAAGAACGTGTGTGCGCAGGGTGGGGGCCATGTCTTGTATGTACAAAGGTCTGGAAGAATACAAAGTCAAGCTTGACAGAGTGTGCTGTGGGGAGATGGGGGTAAGAGGAGGACAGAGGAACATTCACCTTCATCTTATATCTGATAGCAGGAAACATTTCACATTCAGGTTCTGCTCTACCTACTTGACAGAACTTAATTCTTCTAATCCTCAAAACAGCTCTATGTGATACTTAACTACAAGTGGGGAAATTGAGGCACAGAGAAGTTAAGTAACTTGCCCAGAATTATACACCCAGTAAGTAGCAGAGCCCAGATTCAAACCCAGGCAGAGGGTTCTGGGGTCCTGCTTCTTAACCAAAACTCTATACTGCCTATAGGTTTCTTGATTGTGTTTGGAAAAAAAATTATTTTAGCTGAGTATACATCATTTTTGTAATATAGAAAAAAGATAGTAAAGAAAAAATAAAGTTAATGAAAGGCATTTACAATAGGGATTGGTAGAAGCCTGTGGAAGTTTACCAGTTCCTAACACCTCCTCCCCCTTAGCACCACGCCTCCCCCGCCCCCACCTTTTTAATACTCTAGGACTCCCCGCCCCACCTGCCCCAGGCACACAAATTGGTCCTAGGCGCATGCCTGGCGCTGCCTCCGGCCTGCAACGAAGCGAACAAAACAATTGTAAACCGCCACGAGGTTCCAGGCATAGGGGGTGAGTCCCTGCGAGCTCAGACCCAACCCGCGGCGGGTGGGGAGCCCGCTGGGGACCGGATCCCTAGGGACCGGCTAGCGCAGGGGAATTGCACCACCTGCCGACGGAGTCCTGATTGTTGCCGAGTAACTTTTTTTTTTGAGACTCACTTTTTTTTTTGAGTCTCACTTTGTTGCCCTGGGTAGTGTCATGGCATCACAGCTCACAGCAACTTCAAACTCTTGGACTTAAGTGATCCCCTTGCCTCAGCCCCCCTAGCAGCTGGGACAGGCGCCGGCTACAATGCTCCTCTATTTTTTAGAGACAGGGATCTCGCTCTGGCTCAGGCTGGTCTCAACTTCTGAGCTCAGGCGATCCACCTGCCTTGGCCTCCCAGAGTGCTAGGATTCCAGGCATGAGCCACCGCGCCCAGCTTCGAGTCACTTTCTCGTTAACAAAAATGGATCTTTGCTTACTCTTTCCAGTAGGGTCCAAGAGAGAACTTTCAACTCTGGAATTTTAAAACCCATGATCTGTTTCTTTCTAAGTGGGAAGAGGTGTGTGGCGCGCCAGAACTGCCCAGGTGGCCTCCAGCCTGGAGCCTTGTCCTACCTACATTCCGGATGCACAGGGGGCACAACCCCAAATCCAACCCGGACAACAGTGACTTTTTTTTTTTTTGGAGACAAAGTCTCACTATGTCACCCTCGGTAGAGTGCTATGCCTTCACAGCTCACAGCAACTTCCAACTCTTGGGCTCAAGAGATTCTTTTGCCTCAGCTAGGACTATAGGCGCCTGCTACAATACCCATCTATTTTTTTTTTTTTAGAGACAGGGTCTCACTCTTGCTCAGGCTGGTCTCAAACCTCTGAGCTCAAATAATCCACCCACTTCGGCCTCTCAGAGTGCTAGAATTACAGGCATGAGCCTCTGTGCCCAGTCCAACAGACTGTTTACCAGAGACTTCCCAGGGATCATGTGTAGTCTGAGTGCTTTACAAATCTGTTAATCCTCTCAAGGGAGGAAACTGAGGCACTGAGAGGCTGGCCAGCATGCTCAGGTCACAGGGAAAGTGGGGCCTTAGAGTCCAGCTGGTAACTACTACAGGGGAGTGCCAGGTCTGCCCCAGAGAACGAATAGTAAGCCATTGCCTGCATTTCCTGCTTCCTAAATATCAACTCCAAGTACTAAATGTCCAGGAAATCCAGAAGAATGAAAGGGGTTTGTATCAGCCCCTTCCCCTTAGGACAGGCCAGCTTCCAGCTGGTGGCACTATTGCCTATGGGTTACCTGTGTATTTTTTTTTATCCATTTCACATCCTCATGCCTATGAATCTGCTAGGAATTCCTTCCTCCCCACCTTGCAAACTCGATTAACCATCTTTTAAAACCCACTCAAATGCCATCTCCTGAATGAATCCTTCAGCAGCCTCAACCAGGAGAACTGCTGTTGGGATACTTGTCACATGTTTCCCTGTCTGTCTCCTTTCTTGATCCAGATGTGCTTTTTCAGAGTGGGACACTTCCCAGAATTCCCTAGAAAGGCCCAAGGGCATATCAGGATGGGATAAGGTACATTCTGGAAAAGCTGCCTAGGTGATTCCAATACCCCCCTACCCACCCCAATTGAGACCCATGATTCAGATGTGGGGTTCCTAGGTCAGCACAATGGCTCATCTATCATCACACCTCAGCACCCAGTAGAGGCCAAGTGCTAGAGAAATAGTATGGGATGAGACTGAAGTTATAAGGCTCACATGCTCATTGCATTAAGAGTATTTCAGAACAGAGTTTGTCAGGAGGGGCAGAGAGCGTGCCCTGCCTCAGGTTAAAGACCTACCAGACCACCATGAGACAGCACGTGACCCTGCGGATGGCTGGGGTTCGAAAAAGGTCCAGGATCGAGTTGGAGGTGCGGACGCTTGCAAACTCGCTCTGGATGTAGGAGCTCACCACCTGAGTGAGGGAAGTCTGTTCAGGGAAACAAGGGATCCGGGACCCTACATTCCTGCAGGAGGAGGCCAGCTGGGGTTGAGGTCTCTAGGAAGATGGCCAAATCACCTTTCCATCCCAGGGTTGATACCCCTTGATGGGTTGTTCCCAGGAATCTGAGATGAAGCTGAGGCTCCAAGAGCAAGCCCCAACACTACTGAGGTTCTGTGGTTCTGGAGTGCCCCCCCCTTTCCAGGTATAAAGTGGAAATAGATAAGAGCTGGAGTTGCAAGTGATTCTTGCCTGCTGTGTGTTCTCAGGGAAGTTACCTGGCCTGTCCACATTCAGTTTTCTCACTGGCAAATCAGGCATTAAATGAGACTATGTATGTAATGGTCTTAGCATAGTGCGTGGCATGCCTCTCAGTAAATGGTACTTACTGATAATAATTGTTAACTATCTTATAATAAATGGTACATTTGTTACTGATTCTCCAATAATTTTGTTTTATGATCACTAATATTTTTATCTTAATATTTGATTAAAATTTCAACTGCATGTCATTGTTAGTGAGATTATTTCCTCATTGCACAGATGGATAGACTAGTGAACAAAGCAGTTGAATTATTCATCCCAGATCACACAGCCATTCAATGCTTAAACATTTTTCTCACACCAGAACTCTACCTGTCATATTTATTTCCAACCCTACTTGAATGGCAGGTGAATTCTGGGAAGCCACTAAATGCTAGTAGGAGACGGTTCCTTCCCTCCTTCCTCTGGCCTGCTTACCTCCTTGGTCAGCCTTTCCCCTTCCTCCTTTCTCCCGTTCAGGGCAGCCACCTTGCGCAGGTTCTGCATAGCTAACTGGGACTTGCCGTGAAGGAGGAGCCAGCGGGATGACTCTGGAAGCCACCTGGGAGTAAGAGGAGGAAGAAGGATCCAGGGCTGGGTGAAGTTCCTTCTGTTCCCCAAACCCAAACACACCTTGGCCCACCTTCTTCTAGCCCCCCCCAAATATGAATTGTCCTTCTGTCTGCAGAATCAGGAAGACTCAGGGACATGCCGGTTTCCTTTTTCTTGCAGGACATCATTCAGAGACTCACTCACTGAAGGGTACTCAGAGTCTATAGATGACTGACGAGTTCAGCAGACCCAATTTTGAATCTGGTGCTGACCTCAGCTGTGTGGCCCTGAATAAGTTATGGACCCTCTCTGGTCTCTGTCTCAGTTCCCCTCTTATAAAGTGCTATTGGGTTGTAGCGAGGTACAAAGGAGCTGATGAAGACAAAGCACTTGGTATGTTCTGGAGCCCCACACTACTATAAGGGATTTTACTAGAGCTTCCCAGAGGCATTCATGTGCATGTGAGCCTGTGGTCCCCATGAGACCTGCTGTCTTTTGTGTCCCTAGCAAGTCCAGCAAGTCTCAGTCACTGCACATCTTAACCCTTCCTAGGGCCAGGTGAGAGCTTGGCTACACAGGCACACCCTCCCCCCACTCTGCTCAGGACATACCAGGAATAGAGGAAAAAGATCAGGAAAGGGGCAGAGACAGCAAATTGCAGCCACCGCCAGGGGCGAATCAGGTAGGCCATCCCGGCCAGGATGATCTGGCCCATGGTGAAGGAGTACCCCAGCAAGACACCTGCCACGGTCCTGCCCCGGGTGGGCATCCACTCTACCACTGCAGAGAAAAGCACAACATTCTCGGTGGAATTTAGCTACCCACTTGGCTGTCCATGTCATCCTGCCCTCTTTTTTGTGACTCTGGTGACTTAAACTCATTCTCGGTCACATTCTGGAGACCCGCTGAGACACAGGCAAAGATGTCCCTACTTCACTCCTTTTACCCAGGTGCATTAAAGAACTAAATATAAACAAAAGTGTAAACTAAATGCCACAAAAATGTCAGAAGAAATCATGGTAAATTATTTTTCAGTCTTGAAACAGGGAAAGGCTTTTCCAAGAATGTCACAAAACCCAGAAGCAATAAAAGGGAAGGTTAACAAATTTAAATTCATAAAAATAAAAAAGTGTGGCTTGAAACAAAACAGAAACACCATAAGCAAAACCATAATTTCAGCAAAAATAAAAACAAAAAGGCAAAAAATATTTGTAACTCAACAGATAAAGAGCTAATATCCCTGATAGTAAGAGTTCTCACAAATCAATGGGAAAACCACCACCAAGCTGAAAGGAACATGAGCAAAAGTGCCCAATCTGATGTAAGGACAAAACCAAACAAGAACCCCCCAAATTTTTGTGAATAGCAACACTTGGAACAACCTAAATGTCCACCCAGGGGGACTGGTTAACACACCCTTGCAAGGCAGCCATAATGGATTAACGAGGATTTTTCCAATGAGCAAGGAGGTGTGTCTGACCCATCAGCAAATCCCATTGTTTCTTCCTTCAGAATTCAGCCAGATTCTGACCTGCTATCACTGCCCTGGCCTACTTCAGGCCAGCAGAAGCCTCTTCACTGACCTCCCTGCTTCTGTTCTAGCTACCGGGGCTGACACTCTGGCTGGCATCTTGGAGCTGGATCTCCACCGTGGATTTAAGGAATCACTGGCCTTTGTAGCCCAGGTGAACCTGCCCTTCTTAGATCTACACAATTTCAGGGACCTCCCTGGCTCACTCCTGTCTGTGTCCTGGTGCCCTTCAGGGCCCCACACTAAGCCTGGCACACAATGGGTACTTAGTGAGTGTTGTTGTTAGCTATCTCACAAATGAAACAAACCTAAACCTCTCAGTTTACAGATGAGCAAACTGAAACCCAGACCAGGGTAAAGGCTGTCCAGGGTTCCTGCCCTCTGCCACAGGGTCATGATCCCAAGTCTCCCAGGCCAAGGACTCTTGTGGGAGTTGAGGATGCTGGGTGAGAATCCCAACAAAATGAAACAAGAAAGAGATCTAATGATAGGCTGCCACTTCCCCTCCCTCCCTGGCCCTAGCCTTCCCCACCCCTCTGCAGCTGGACTCACCCAATGAGAGGGAGTTGAGGATGATGCCAGAGAAGGTCATGCCCATCAGGAACCGGAAGGCGCAGTAGGCACTGAAGGAGCCAAAGTATGCTGTGGCGGACCCCGAAACCGCCAGCTGTAGGTACGACCAGATGAGCGGGCCCTTGCGGCCCAGCCTGATACCAGGGGACAGGCATAGGCATTAAGGTTCTGAAGGCGGCAACAGCACCCCTAGGGGCCAAAGCAGCATCCTGTGTCTGACCCTGCCACAGACAGACACGGGGAAGCTGGGCTGCCCTGTGAAAGCCACCCTTCCAAAACCAGCTCACAGCCACTGGGACCTGGGCACTCGTGGCATAGGTTGGCCAGAGAGGGAGGGTTATGATGTGGAGGCAATTGGAGCTGAAGAGATTTATTCCAGGGTCAAGGAGAACAAGGATTCCCACAAAGACCCAGAGAGGGTGTGGCTGCTGGGGAGAGGGATACCTCAAACCAGAACTCACAGGGGTCGAGTGCTTCGCCAGTCCCAGGCTATGGGAGCAGGACCAGGGCCAGTCTTCATGTGGTCTCACCAAGGAGACTGGCGTAGGATGAGGGTGGCCAGGCCCAGAGGAAATGAGGCCAGGGTGGCACAGTTATCCCATCTGGTCTGGCATTGCTCCATTTGCAAATGTGGGCCGAGGCCAGAGCACATAGCCCAGCTTGGCCAGGAGGGTAGCAGGCCAAGAAGGGGGAAGCATTTCATTTCCACACACCCACGACACACTCATTCATTCAGTCATGTATTTGTTCATGTATCCATCCATTCATTCACTCATTCATTCATTGTTACACAAATGTTCACTGACTACCTCTAAGTGACAGGCCTGAGCTGGGGGCTGGTGACATATAAGATACTCTGGATAAGATACAAGCTCATACCTAGAAAGACCAGGACATGTCAGGACACAGTGTGATGAGAGTCATGATAGAGCAACCTGTGAGGGGCTTGAGGCATACAGAACTGGGAGCCACTGCATTCCGGAATATGGAGTCTGGAATCCAAGAGGGTCCCCAAAACCTGAACTGACAGAGGAGGGGCAGAAGGGAGGGAAGAGGAGTGAGGGAAAGAGAAGGTGAGAGAAAGCAGGGAAGGAAGGGAAAAGAGGCATGGAGGTGAACGGACTTCAGCAGAGCCAGCCGCCTGCCTCTCGCTGTCCATCAGTAGGTTTTAGTTAGGGTCAGTTCTGGTTCATTCATGCAGCAGGATGCAGTGTGGACATTAAGAAGGACAGGAAAGCTCTTTCTGAAGGAATAAGAGAGGCCTTCAAAGTGAAGAAAAAGACAGGTGCTGGCTTGGCGTCTGTAGCACAGTGGTTACAGAGCCAGCCACATACACCCAGGCTGGCGGGTTCAAACCCTGCCCGGGCCAGCTAAACAGCAATGACAACTGCAACAAAAAAATAGCCAGGTGTTGTGGCGGGTGCCTATAATCCCAGCTACTTGGGAGGCTGAGGCAAGAGAACTGCTTAAGCCCAAGAGTTTGAGGTTGCTGTGAGCTGTGACACCACGGCATTACTGAGGGTGGCATAGTGAGACTCTGTCTCAAAAAAAAAAAAAAAAGAGAGAGAAAAGAAAAAGACAGGTGCAGGATCTTATGTGGAGGGTGCCAGCCCAGCATTTGTATAAAATGTGGGGACAGACCAGGAGCAGTGGCTCACTCTTCCTAGCACTCTGGAAGGCTGAGCAGGGACCCTCATCCCACGCCTTACCTGTCTGCCAGGCAACCAAACACGGCAGCTCCCACCAGGACTCCAGCCATGTAGATGGACTGGGCGAGGTCACGGAGGGTACGGGCCTCACAAACCAGATCCCACTGCAGGGGGAGAGAGGGACACTTCAGCCTCTACCTCTGCAGCAGCCTCCCATGCCACATGGCCTCCTCTGACCTCCATCACGATGGTGGAAGGGAAAATGCTGTGGTCATAGACCCAGCCGTCCTTGCAGCTCTCTGTGGCTGTCCTGTGCACGGAGGTGTTGGAGTTCAGGAGGGCCCACTGAGGCTCGGTGAAGCGCTGGCATGGCTCAGGGGCCCCCAGATGGTCCAGGGGTACAATGGCCCTCAGCCAGGCCCCTGAGTCATTGGTGGTGGCCTCAGAGTGGTTGGTGGGTCCCCGGCAGTGGTGGCGGGGCACAGCAGCCGTGAAGTTCTGCAGGAAATTGTGGCAGGCCAGCAGGCCACAGGGCAGGAGCAGCAGGACGGTGTAGATGAACTGGAAACGGCCCACGCCACCTAGGGCGTCCAGCAGGTCTGTGAAGGCCATGGTTATGGGTCTGATCTGAGGTCCAGCCTTCTGGACTTTATGTAAAGGGGCTGGGAGGAAGTGGAGCAACAGGCCAGGGGTTAGGGCTGCAGATGCCCTGTGTGTGTGCTCTGTGTTAGATGGCTCCAGTTACACCCCACAGGAGGGTTTGGGTGTCCCCATATCTGCAGGGCTCTTCTCTCCCCCACCCTCCACAGTCCTGTCTCCAGGTCTCCCCTCTTTTTCTGAGAGCCACCTCATAGCCTGCTGCCTTCAGGGGCAGGACCCCAGAAGTGAGCACAGTAGTATCACTTTCCCTTTCTTCGGGAGCTCCCATTCTGGCCTTAGTACATGGAACATAGGTCCTGTCACTTGGCTGGCTCCAGTTGAAGCTGGAGCTTACTTGCGCAGAGGTCAGAATAACCAGTTCCCTGTGATTACACTGCTTACTCCTCTCCCATGCCATGAGCAGTCAGAAACTCAGTTGCACAGGCGACACTTGAGAAAAGTTCTTTAAAAATGCCCCAAGTCAGGCAGCCAGAAGACCCCACTCTCTCTGTCCCACCAGTTACCCTCAGCCTTGGAGTCAGAGTTGGAGGGGTTAAGGCCCTAAGATCACCCAGATCCATAGTGTGCCACCCCCTCATCAAACTCAGCCCAAGCATAGAACAAATAAGGGTTTGAGCAAGAGGGTGGGGCCTGGGCCCCATCCTCCCACCCCATCCTTGCCTCCTCCAACCATAGGCCCCTCAGAAGCCTACCCAGTCTTCAGGAAGAGATGAACCACTCACCTTACTGATAAGGACACTCAACCCAGCAAGACTCGGCCCAGGGTCCAATAAGCAGGACCCTGCTTTGACAAAGGCAAAATGCAAGCCCAAGACAGCAGTGTCCAGACAGCCTGCCACCTGGGGCATTGGGGCCTCTGCCTCCATTTCCATGCCAAGGCAGCCCAGGGCATCCCTCTTGCTCCTCAGCTTTTGCCCTGCAGATGCCACCAAACGTGTCTTCATCCCACCCCTCCATCACCCGCCCCCCATATCTCTAGTAAGAAAAGCTAGGATCTCAGAGGGGGCTGGATTGGCTTATATAATCTGCAGGTATCTGGGTCACAGGGCACCCCCAACACACACACACAGGAGGACCTGAAGGAGGCTTTGTATGCTGGGGAAGCTGCCTGGGAGGTCAGGTTTGTGCTAAGTAGAGGTTTAGGTTTCAGCTGGAACCTCACCTCAGGGGGCAGAGTATGCAGGAAAGGCAGGGGTCAGGCTTACTGGGCTGGGAGAAGGGTATGTGTGGTTGAGCAGGACCTCATAGGTCTCAGCTGTGACCCTGTCCCTGCAGCTAGGGCCCCAGGGCCAAAAATGTCCCCACCCCAAATGCCCAATATTCCAGCAGGGGTGCAAGCCTCCAGGGCCATGATGAAGGAGATGGAGAGGTGTGAGAACAGGGGTAAGCAGAGGCCATGAGCTGTCCCCACAGGCCAGAGAGCAGGCTGGGGTGAAACATACTCCAGAGACAAATGTGGGGCTTATTCCTTTATTATTTGGGGTTCCTCTGAATGGAAACATGGGACCTCCCCACCCCATGCCTAGTCCTCTGGCACCCCCATAGCCAGTAAGTACAACGGTTCCTAAAAAGTCCCCTTTAAAATTCCCAATATAAAAAAGGAGGAGGGAGGGAAGCCCTGACCACCCTCCAGGCTGGGCAGGACTGGAGGGTGGGCTGGGCTGGAGGGCAGAGAGGGGGCCTTGACTTCTGTGGGAAGGCACAGGTGTTTCCAGCCCCAGGGGTTCTCCCAGCTGGGAGGGGGCTCCACACACCTGGATTACAGAGTGTGCAGGGCTAGTGGTTAGAGTTTATAGTCCACAGGTGAGGCCAGGTGGGTCAGGCTGGGTGAATGGCCTCTGAAGTGAGGGGAGCAGACACATGTGGATACTTGAGGGGCCTGGGGCTGTCCTGAGGCAGGGACAAGCAAAAGCTGCCTTCCTGATGTGGTGATGGGAAGGGCCGGGGGGCCATCCTGAGCCCAAGGCTGGCACAGGCAGGGAGGGCCACACAGTTCAGCCCAGGGCAGATGACCCAGCATGACTGGGAGGGGAGGGGACAGGAGGGTGGACATCTCCCGGCTCTGAGGAAGGCACTTGCAGCTGGCATGACCTGGCATGGCGAGGCAGGTGTGGCTTGGCAGACAGAAAAGGAGAGAGGAGCTCGGCAAGGGACCCCTGGCCCCGCCTCATGCGAACATGGTCAGCTGTAACCACTGCCGGATAGAGAGCAGGCAGGTCAGCCGTGGGCAGCGGAAATGGCCACTTGGCTTCCTCAGTCTCTCTCCCCTGAGTCCAGCCCATAGTCCCAGCTCAGCAGCTACCAAACCCTGAGTCCAGCCCATAGTCCCAGCTCAGCAGCTACCATGCAGGGACCCTCATAGAAGGCTACTTTCTTATTCCTCCACCCCTAGGAGACCAGGCTGCTGGCTCCTGCAGAGGTTCCCTTCCCAGAGCCAGGCCCCCCACCCCAGCCTCCAGGACTCAGGTGGCATGGCCTGGTCTTTAGGGCTGACTCTGAGGCCCAGGCCCCTGCTGGGAAGGGACAGGAGAAGATTGGTCAGACAGGGAAATCCAATCACTTCAAACTCTTCCCCCACTGTGGACCCAGGGAGGTTCCCACCTTAAATAAATCAAAGGTCACAACTCCATCCAGATCTGTGTCCAGAGTTTTGAAAAATCCTGTGTGTTCAAGAAAAGATGACATGGGGTAATAACTCAATGGGACATTTACACAGGGCCAGGACTGGCCCTCTTTTCCTGCCTGACTCTCTCTTCACCTTCCCACAGCACCCTAGGCTGCCCTTTACCCCTTCCTGCTGCTTCAGAGCCCCCCAATTCCCTCTCCTCCCCCATTCTCCTAGCTCTCAGCTTCCAGGTGACCAAGCCTATATCTGCTCTGGCCTCTACCTGCCATTCACCCATCTGTCATTCCCACCAGCTCATAGGCGACAAGTCTGGGACAGAGTTGGAGGGTGGGAGCCAACTGGGAACACTCACGGAACATGGTTTCCAGCCGCACCAGGCAGCACACAAAGTTGTCAAAGTCAACAGCCAGGTCAGGCTCAGAGTAGCGGGTGATAATGAGCTCGTACAGCTTCTTGTTGAGCTTGAAGCCTGGTCCAGAAGAGTGAATGAGGGTCAGGGAGGCATAGCCCATGACCAACAGGATGGGAGACAGAGAGGCTGGGTCCCCAGGAGGCAGAGGGATCTCCAGGGGAAGAGGCACGAAGGCCTCCTGGACAGGCTAGTCCCAAAGGAAGCCCAGGTTGTGCCAGGAAATCAGGAGCTGGCCAGAGAGGGCACGGTGTCTGGCTTAGTATGTCCCTAACTCCCAAATGCTGGCCTCATCCTTTCAGGGCCAGCAGGTGAGGCAGGGGTGAGCCTGGACTCCTCTCCCACTGGAGGCTCTGTAACCTGGCTCTGCCCCTCCTGGCTGTGAGGCCTGAGGTCAGTCACTTTCCTTCTCTGAGCCACACTTCATGTGCACAATAGGGACATATAAAAACCAGTACCCTCTTAGGCTTCAGTGAGGAGGAAAGAAAGCCGATGAAACATTTAGATCAGCAACCACAGGAGAAGACAAAAGATGGGTTACCACATCATCACTCGCACCTCAGGGACATAGGTCAGTGGAGTGCCACTGCCTTGGGCGGCTGTCAGGGAAGCAGCCTGGGGCCCAGGAGCAGTGAGACCCATCCATCTGGGTCCCAAAGGTTCCACCAGCCTTTGGGCCTCACCTGCAGACTCGATGGCCATTCGCATCTCGTAGGCACTCATGCTGCCTGACTTGTCCAGGTCAAACTTCCGGAAGATGTTCTGGGGTAGGGGGCAGAGGGTGAGGGCCAGGCCAACTAAGCCAGCCGTATCTTCCCATCCACCCCTATCCCAGGTTGCTGTGGATGTAGGAGAGAGGCCCAAAGCTGGCAGGGAGCAGGTGCCAGCTGACCAGCCTGGCCCCATGTAACTGAGGCCACAGAGGGGAAGAGAGGACCCGGCCAGTGGGGACAACTTACCAGGTAGTTCCGGATACGATTCCATAGGATGTTGAACTCTACCAGGCCTAGCTTCCCATTGCCATCGCGCTGGGTGGCAATTAAGGAAATGCCACAGCTTAGATCAGGCATGAGAGTGAGCAACTAGGGAGAAGGGAGGGCAGAAGCAGCAAGAAGGAGCCCCAGGAAGCCAGCCTAGAGCCGCTTCATTGCCTGCATTGGGGTTCAATGAAGAGGCCTGGGGAGGGATGTGAAACACCACCAGCCTTAGGACCAACTAGGAACTCAGGCCTGGCTCCACTTTTCTCTTGATGCAAACACTGTGCCTCAGTTTCTCCCTCCCAATCAGAGGAAGATGCCCCAGAAAGCATCTGACCATGGGGCACTGGTACATCCACACCCCACAGCCTGTCCCAGTCCCTGTGTTCTCTGGCAGCCACCCAGCTCCTCTTGCATGCCTCTACCCCAACCCCAAACCAGGAGGCACAAGTAAACAAAGGATACATCCATGAGATTCACCATGCTGCGGCACGACTCTAGGCTGAAGCCCTTGGTCCGCAGGTCTTTGTCTGGAAGAAAAACCAGTTCCAAGCCCTCAACCCAGTGAGCTTTCTGTGCCACCCCTGCTGGGGTACTGGTGGGATGGAGTCAGGGAGATGGGATTCCTGCCCAGGGGATGTAAAATCTAGCAAGGGAAGTGGGCTGGAGTGTTTTTATCACCAGGAACCACAGGTAAAGTATTTTAGCCATCAAGCCAGTGTCCTGACAGCCATAAATTAGTCCAAAGTAAAATGAAACAAGTACTAAACAGAAAGAAATCAAAGAAAACTCAGCAGGGTGGGGTTTGCTGTAAGCTTCAAGGGTTGGCAGGGCTCAAAGAAGAGGGAGGGTTTGAGCTGAGGGGAGCATACCACAGGGGTCAAAGGTAGTAGAGTGCTTGGGTGCTAGGTCCCAGGGGTGACTGCCTTCAGCTGTGTGCTTCAGGGAGTGAAGCCAGCATCATTCTGCTCCCCCAGCCACCACCCAGCCTGCCCCAGGGGTGCATGTCTGGGGGAAGGGCAGCTTTGCCCTTGGCACCAAGAAACAGAGCTCAGGACGGAATGGGGCAGCAGCGGGATAGCATGAGGCCTTTGGGATGAAAATGGCAGGGAACTCAGTTCAGAAAGGCAGGGGAGGGGCCCCCCACCTAGGCAGACCAAGGAGTGGGGTTCAGCTCAACCTGGGAGCTGATGCTGGGATTCTGATATGGGGAGCAAAGGGGGTATAAGCAATAAGGTGAAGCAGCCACTTGGGGACCCCTCACGTTTGCTAATGATCCTGTTAAGGATGGTCCGAAGCTCCTTGACGCTGATCTCCATGTCCTGGGGAAGAGAGAGGATGGCACCTGTCCTGGAGGACACCTACCCTCTGTGGCCCCACCTACTATGCCACGCCCCAACCTACCTCCCCTGCCAGTTGCCTGAAGAGGGCCTTGAAGTTGTCATCAATCTCCTCTTCTGAGAGCACTTGCTGGACGGAGAAGGGGGAGAGAGCAGGTAATGGGCCACTGGCAGCTAGAGGGAGGGCTGGGACCACACTTTTGCTACATGTCACTTCACCTCTCAGGGGCCTCACTTTTGTAACTCATAAAATAGGGATCTAGTCCCTGCCCTGCTCCCCTGCCCAGGACTCTTATGGCCTAAATGAAGGGGATGAAGTTCAGCACCGTAATGAAAGGTGAGGGTTTGTATCTTTGCTATATGACCTTGGGCAAGTTCTTTAACCTCTTTCAACTTGAGTTTCTCACTCAGAGGAGCTATCATCACAGTACTGTACTGGGTTGTTATGGGGAGGAAATGAGATGATCACATAGGTGAAGTGCTCAGCACAGACCCAGAAAGAGAGAGCTCAGGGACTATGTATCATTATCATTGCAAGTACTTGCAAGCTGTGAAGTTCTGGGTTGATGAAGGATTAACATTACTCTCATGGCCCTTGCCAGGAAAAGATCTGCCTTGCCAGCAGGAGCCCAGAGCCCAGAGCCTAGGGACTCAGACACCCAGGGTAAGGGAGAGAGGACGGTGCCTGGGATGAGGGGAAACCACGCACCTCGTCAGGGAGATTGGCCTGGATCTGGTCATCCAGCTCCCTGCAAAGTGGGAAGAAATAGGGGCTGGTCAGAGTAGGGGACAGTGCAGTCAGAGCTGGGGACAGTTCACCAGGCCTGAAGGTGGGAGAGGGCAGAGCATCAGGGGAACAGTCCATGACTCACTGGGTCCCAGCACTTTTTTCCGAGAAGAAGCGGAGTACAAAGTCACCCTCTTTGTTGGGCTCGAAGGTGGAGGGTACCACGACATACTCCCCAGGTGGTAGGCGGAAGCGGGTGCTAACCTCCCGGAGGTTAATGAATTGCTCTGAGCGTGCCCGAGACGCATTGGCCAGGAAGAAGTCGCGCTTCAAGTGCACAGCCGGCTGGCCCACCAGCTGGAGGGAAGGAGGCAGGGTGGGGCTGCAGCTGCCTACGCAGCCCATCTTCAGGGGCCACCCCCAGACCCAGACCCCAGGCTGCAAGTCTGGGTCATGGCTCAGTCACTTACAGCCTATGTGACCCTGATAAGTCATTTTGCCTCGGTTTCCTTATCTGTAAACCACTCCCCTACTTGATACAAGATGCAGGTGAGGAGCAGTTGAATGCAGATAAGGCACATATTTAAATAACTGTTCTCACTACTTGAGTATCACCTTGTCAGATTCAGTGAGGTATTTGGCACCTCATTTAATCCTCCCAACAGCTCCATGTGGCAGCGCCATTACTCCCATTTTATAGACATCAACACTGAGACTCAGAGCTTAAGCAACCTGCTCAACACCCTGATCCCAACATTGCCCCAGACTGCCCCAGTTAGCACTTACTCAGTGTCGATGGCAAGATGGGAAGAACCTCATGTGCATGGGTGGAACTCTGAGGACCAGGGTTCAAATCCAGTCCCTCACTTACTACCTGCTCTAACCTTCAGGAGAGCGATATTTGTTCCGCCCATGAACAGGCAGGGGAAAGTACTTTTCGAGCAGTGAAATAAGGTGACTTCTAGCTCTCCATGCAAGGGTGGGTTTGTCATTGTGCTGCTCCGTTCTGGGCTCCCTCAGATCACATGCTGGGGGTATGTAAATCCAAGTGAGTCAGGTGCCATACCTACCTGTGGAGGGACCTGCAAGAGAGACAGGGAAGTTAGAGATGCACGTTCATCCCAGGTTGGAGGACAGAGTGCATGCTGGGCAGAGGTCCTGAGTTCTTAGATGGGGAGTAACAGGATGAGGAGATAGATAAGAGGCAGGGCCTTGGGCCTGGGTGTTGGGGTCCCAGACCTGTCTCCATATCAGAGAGTGATCCCAGGAGGGAGGGCCCAGGTAGGGCTCTCTTTGTCCTTGAAATGCCCTAGGCCTCAGCTCTGAGTCAGTGTCCAGGACAGCACCTGGGGTGGCCAATCAAAATGTCCTAAAGCCCAGGGACATGAAAGGTCCACATCAGTCTGCTGCCAGCAGCTCTGGGTGTGGCCAAGGCTGTAGCCTTCCTTTCTCCTGGTCAGGGAGGTTCAGAAGTTTCTATCCCTTTCTTGAACACAGTATGTAAAGCAAGGCAAGTGCAGGCCAAGAGTCACAAGTTATAACCACAGAGTGAGGCACAGCCTCCCCCAGGCTAGGAGGCTGTCCCGGTCACACACCTCCATGCCAGCCTCTGCTAACACTTTCAAGACAGGGAGTTCCCGACTCCCCTAGGGCAGCCCATGGCCCTCTTCTCTCTGAAGTTGAGCCAAAGTCTGACTGCAGGAGCTACCTTCCAGATGTCAGCTGAGCCAGCTTCTCTTCCTGGAGCAGTATCCCACCCTCTGAGGATGAAGGTGAATCCCACAATCTTCCCTTCCCAACCCAAGCACCTTCCTCTGTCCCCTCCCCAATAGGATGCATTGCAGGTCCCCATCTGGTCAGAGGGCTTTGGCAAGTGCCTCCTGGAGGCACCCTTGGGGTTACACACATCAAGGTGCAGCTGCCCAGTGCCTCAGGATGGGCTGGTGGCCCCTGGCAGAAGCCCGCCTGAGCTAGGGGAAGATCCTGGGCTCACCTCGTAGACAGCAAAGCCAATGGTCTCCATGTCCCGGCCAAAGCGGCGCTCCCGGCGGCGGTGCTTCTGCATGAGGGCCAGCACAAAGCTGCAGCCTGACTCACGGTCGCCATAGTCATCTGGGTCATCCACCTCCTCCAGCTGAATCTTGAACTGGGGGTTCACCCAGAAGGTGGCTGCAGGTGGAAGGAGTTAGAGATCAAAGGTGGGGCAGGGCAGAATGACCCCCATAGGCCTCATCTGCATTCTCCCCTGTGTCTATTCCTTCATTTAACAAATGTTAGTAGGTGCCCAGTGTGTGTCAGTGACAGGCATGCAGCCAGGATAGACACAGCCCTGGCCTCTTGGGCTTGCATTCCTGAGGCAAAGGCTTAAGTATGAGCAAGTCAGGTCAATGAACAGAGTAACTACAAAGAAAAGCAGGTAGAAGTTGTTCAGGGAAAGTAACATGTGAGCTGAGACCTAATGGCACAGCTCTGGATGACCTAGGGAAGCATGAGCCAGACAGGGAGACATAGAGCAAAGGTGTGGAAGAGCCTCTGCACAACTGTGGGACAGTGGACCAGCATCCAGGGAACATGGTGATCCAGAGAGGTGGCAGAGGTTGGCAGACACTGCGCAGGGGCTAAGGTATGTGGATTGAATCAGAGAGCAAAAGGACCCTACCAACCAGCTTGTAACAGAAAGGGACATGACCTCATTAACATTCTAAAAAGTGACTCAGGGCTGGTGCAGTGGCCCTCATGCCTATAATCCTGGCACTCTGGGAGGCCAAGGTAGATGGATAGTTTGAGCTCAGGAGTTCCAGACCAACCTGAGACCCTCTCTCTCTCTAAAAAACAAAAACAAAAACAAAAAAACTAGCTAGGTGTTGTGCTGTGCCTGTAGGCCTAGCTACTCAGGAGGCTGAAGCAAGAGGATCACTTGAGCTCAAGAGTCTGAGGTTGCTGTGAGCTATTGATACCAGGGCACTCTACCCAGGGCAACAAAGTGAGATTCTGTCTCAAAAAGAAAAAAAGAAAAAGTGACTCAAATCGCTGTGTGGACAATGACCTAGGAGAGAGTAGGAGAGTAAACAGGGGTCTAATAGGAGGCCGTGGAGAGCTGTCCAAGGTTTGCAATTCTGGCAGTTTGGCTATTTAGAGAAGAAGAACCTTCTTGACTAAGACAACTCAGTACTGAATAGAATATGCAACATTTCTCTCCTAAGGCACTAAGAAGCCACAATTCCCCACCCCAATGACAATAATAAAAAAGATAAGTAAGTCTTGGTGAGGATGTAGAGGAATCGGAATCTTACACACTACTGTTAAAAATGTAAAATGGTACAGCCACTTTAGAGAAGAGATTACACATAGAACTAACATTTAACCCAGCAATTCCACTCCTAGGTATATACTCAACCGAAATTAAAATATATGTCCATGCAAAACTTGCATGTGAATGTTCATAGCAGCATTATTTATAATAGCTAAGTAGCAGAAACAACCCAATTATGCATCAGCTGATGAATGAATATACAAAGTGTATATTCAAACAATGGAATGTTATTGGCAATAAAAAGGGACAAACTACTAAACACACGCTACAATATGGATGAACCTGGAAAACGTTATGCTAATTGAAAAAAGCCAGTCACAAAGAACCACACATATGGTTGCCAGGGGATGGCAAGTGACAGACAAGGGGTACAGGTTTGTTTTCAGGATAATGAAACAAAATTGATGTCATGATGGTTGCTTAACTCTGGGAATAAACTAAAAGCCACTGATTTATACACTTTAAGTGAATGGATTATATGATATTTGTATTAAATCACAATAAAGGTATCTTTTTAAAAAATAGAAATAAGGAGTTCTGCAAATAAATAAGGCAAAGGGCTCAGCGGCTGTAGCTCAAGTGGCTAGGGCGCCAGCCACATACACTGGAGCTGACGGGTTCGAATCTAGCCCAGCCCGTCAAACAACAATGACAACTACAACTTAAAAATAGCCAGGCATTGTGGCGGACACCTGTAGTTCCAGGTACTTGGAAGGCTGAGACAAGAGAATCACTTAAGCCCAGAAGTTGAGGTTGCTATGAGCTGTGACACCATCACACTCTATCCAGGGTGACAGCTCGAGACTCTGTCTCAAAATAAATAAATTAAAAAATATATAAATAATGGCAAAGGATTTCTGTCGACCTTCAAATACCCTGAGCCCTGGGAATAGGGGCAGAAGATAAAGTCCAGGATCTACTGGAAGGAGCAAATCTAATAGGAGATTCTGGCAATAAAACTGGAACTCTCATAAGGAATGCCAGCAGTTAAGTATGAGAGAAAAATAAAACCCACTGGGAAGAAGAAAAGAAATGAACATAAAGCAGTCTTCACATGACCCTTCAGTTTTAATTCATACTGCCTGTGAGGTCAAGGAAACATTAATAAAATAACTTAGTTTTAAAAGGGACCAACCTGGGTTGGTAGCATCCCAGTTGACTGACAGTAACACCCTAGAACTCCATCCAAGGACTCAAAATGAACTCCCATAGATAAACTGCCAGGCCAAATGAGGCAGAGAATTCACTATGACTGGGGGCTCATAGCCACAATAGACAAAAACTGACAAACCAAGACCTCAGATAAGACTATACTTATTGTGTTTAAATAAATAAATGAATAAGGCCAGGTGTGTTGGCTCACACATGTAATCCTAGCACTCCCTCTGCCTGAGGCTGGTGGATTGCCTGAGACCACCCTGAGCCAGAGCAAGACCTCATCTCTAAAAACAGCTGAGCATTGTGGTGTGCAACTGTTGTCCCAGCTACTTGGGAGGCTGAGGCAAGAGAATCCCTTAGGGCCAAGAGTTTGTGGTTGCTGTGAGCTGTGACCCCAAAGCACTGAATCGAGGGTGACACAGTGAGACTCTGTCTCAAAGAAAAATAAAAGAAAATAAATAAATGAAGTTTGAAAATATGAGCAAGAATGGACAGATTTGAAAAGATCCATTAAAACTTCCAGAAAAAAAAACAAATTAATTGAAATTAAAGACTTAGAAGAACTAAACCAAAGATTTGATACAGCCAAAAAGAAAATTAGTGAATTGAGAAAGGAGCTGAGAAAACTGCCTAGGATGCAATCCAGAGAGATTAAGAGATGGAAAATTTAAAAGCAAGGTTAAAGAGAGAGAAGATACATCTTGTATCTAAGTGGAATTTCAAAAGGAGAAGATAAAGAGTGGGAAGGAGGTGATATTCTAAAAGGTCATGGCTAAAATTTTCTAGATTGTTGAGAGACATCAATTCAGATCTAGGAACCTCGATAAATCCAAAGAAGAATGAAAAGTAATCCATACTTCCACACATCATGGTGAATTCATAGAATATGAAAGAAAAAATTTTTAAAAAATTTTTAAAGAAAGCAGGGTAGACAGACACTGAACCCACACATAGCAATAATAGAAGCAGAACAAAGAATAATATATCTTCAGTGGGCTAAAAATAATGTCAGTCCAGAATTCTATATCCAGAGAATTGTTAAGAACAAGCACACATCCTGGGCGCAGTAGGTCACACTTGTAATCCCAGACCAGCCTGAGCAGGAGTGAGATGCCACCTCTACTAGAAGGAGAAAAACTAGCTGGGTGTGGTGGCAGGTTTCTGTGGTCCCAGCTACTTGGGAGGCTGAGGCAAGCAGATTGCTTGAGCCCAAGAGTTGGAGGTTGCTGTGAGCTATGACACCTCAGGACTCTACTGGGGGCAAGAAAGTGAGATTCTGAGAAAAAGGAGAAGGAGGAGGCAGAGGAGGAGGAGAAGAGGAAGGAGAAGAAGAAGGAAGAGGAGGAGCAGGAAGAGAAGAAGAAGAAGGAGGAGGAGGGAGAGAAGGAGGAGGAGGAGGAGAAGAAGAAGATTATAAAGGAATTTAAAACAAATACTGAGAAAGTTAAGACCTCTGTTAAAAGAAATACAAGGCTGGGCGTGGTGGTTCATGTCTGTAATCCTAGCACTCTGGGAGGCAGAGGCAGGTGATCAAATAATGATGATGTTTAACTATGGCAAGGAAAAAACTGTTTAGAATTGAAATGGTGGCTAATGACAGAATAATGAACAAAGGGAAGGAGTGATCAAAATGAAATATTCTAAGGTTCAGGAACAGGGTAAGAATATGAAATGATCAACAAACTTTGGCATGTATGAAACAAACTCTTATGTCTTTCAAACTCATAGAGGAAAAAACTAGTAGAGAGAAAAGAACAAACTCAACACAAAACGCAGCTTGACAAGAGAGACAAGCAGAAAATAAGCTCACACATTATTATTTGAAATAATTACAAATATATCATTAATCGTTATGAGTATAAATGAACTAAACTATCCAGTTTAGACAAAATTTTCAAGCTGGATTATTAAAAAGCCAACTATATGTTGTTTATAAGAAGTAATAGAACATTGAGCTGTGGAAAGATCAGACATCAAAGAATATAGAAAGACATAAAAATGCTAGCAAAAAAAAAAAAAAGGAATAGCTATGGAAACAATGGCTGAAAGTAAAATAAATTTTCATTATTATTTTTTTAGAGACAGAGTCTCATTTTATTGCCCTTGGTAGAATGCCATGAAGTCACAGCTCACAGCAACCTCCAACTAATGGGCTTAGGTGATTCTCTTGCCTCAGCCTCTCCAGTAGCTGGGACTACAGGCACTGGCCACAACGCCCAGCGATATTTTGTTGCAGTTTGGCAGGGGCTGGGTTTAAACCCACCACCCTTGGTATATGGGGCTGTTGCCCTACCCACTGAGCCACAGGTGCCACCAGTAAAATGAATTATTAGAGATGAAAGTTGTCCTAGACATTTTAAAAAAAATTTAAAAATTTTTTTTGCCATTTTTAGCTGGGGCTGGGTTTGAACCTGCCACCTCCAGTATATGGGGCTGGTGCCCTACTCCTTTGAGCCACAGGCACTGCCCTACATTTTTAATTCACTAGGAGCTTATAACAATTCTAAACTTTTTTTTTTTGAGACATGGTCTCAGTATGTCACCCTCGGTAGAGTGCTATGGCATCACAGCTCACAGCAACTTTAAACTCTTGGGCTTAAGCAATTCTCTTGCCTCAGCCTCCCAAGTAACTGGGACTACAGGCGCCCGCTACAATGCCCGGCTATTTTTTGTTGTAGTTATCATTGTTGTTTAGCAG